ATGTACATCGCGCAGTTGTCCTAGAGAGGTACCGCCACATGCGAATGCCTTGAATCAGGGATACTTCATGATGGCATGTGTTGATGACTGAGCTGGGGACTGCACGCGCGGGATGAAGTGCTCCACGGTAGACAGGGGTGGCGTTATGGCTTAACAGAAAGATGACTCATGATGAGGTGTCTCGTGCATGCATCGGGTGTTTGTTTTCCACTTGGCTTTCTGTGCTGCGTCATTTTGTTTGTGTTCAAGGAGCCGCGGGTCCCAACAGACTGGAAAATGCCGGTTTCGAGTGGAAGCTACGCAGTGGAACAGGTTGCCAAGTGGAATTGGTATTACCGAATGGTGATTCCATTTATGCACAATTTCCGAGTCCAGACACTCTTACTTATGCGCAAACTGCCTCTACAAAGCAGGTTCAGGAGCATGCACGGTTGAGTGGTATTCACAGCAGCGAGAGCAACAGCACAAACAAGAACACGTCCAGTCGCACCTGCAATAAACAGCAGGAACGGGGACATGCATAGCAGCAACGCAAACAGCAGCCACAGCAGCAGCAAGGCGACAGGGCCTACACCTGCTTCTAAACTGATGATGTTCGCGCCAATAGAGACCGTTTTCCGCTGTCTGCGTGATGTTCTCTCAGGAGCAAATTTNAACTGATGATGTTCGCGCCAATAGAGACCGTTTTCCGCTGTCTGCGTGATGTTCTCTCAGGAGCAAATTTATTACCTGTGGCAGCAAAATGTGTTTCCGGTAAAACCAAACCACGTCTTCTGTGGTTTCCCCATCCATCTAGCTACCTCAGGTGAGTGCCCCTTATTTCTGGAGAAGGCATGCATTCTCATGGAATGACGAAGCACCGTTAACTTGTTCAGTAGGGATGTTCAGGAGACGTGTAGCTGCAGTAACGCTTCTAAATCCAAACAAACGCTGAGCCATTGCGACGCTTTGCTGCTGCTGCAGACTCGACCGAAATTCGCAGCTACTTAGGGGGCAGCCGCCGGTTCCGTCGCCTGCTTGATATGCCAGTTGAAAACATAACTTATGTTGTGACGGGAAAGTGCTATCCTTTAATGGGTGGAGTAATCAGCACCTGGCTGTTTTTCGGTGCCCAAGTTCCTCTTGCTGTAAGCACCGTTGTGCTCTCCTCTACTACTATCCATCTGCAATTCTTATTTCCACTCCGCTTTGCGGTTGAGTGTACTGTGTACTCCCTTGGAGCTATTTCGGGGGCTTTTCGGTCATCGATTTGTTCTGAGGTTGCTCTTGTGCGCTCGTTGGTGTTTTTGCTCCTCTTTCTGTGTCTTTCAGTCATCGCAGGAGCGTAAGAGCCACATGACCCGCATAAGGAAGCCACCGCACACAAAGCAACGGAGAAAACATCCGAATGAGGCTGCGGCGGAGAGCCAGGCTCCTACGGGAGGCGCAGAGCTTCCGGAAGAGGGCGGCAGTGCAGTGGGGCAGCCAAATGCCGAGCAAGCTCACCAGTAGCCTAGCCAACAGACTATGATTCAGGTATAGAAGCGTGCAAGGAGGCCGCCCCAACCTGCTTAGTGGTGTTGAATCTATCTGATTCAGAAGTCACACATCACCACAACCCTGCAATTTTTTCTTGTAGATCAGCTGCTTGCCAAAGGGGGGACCTAGAGCGCTGCAGAGAGGGTCCCTGTGGTAGAGGACGCCGCTGTCGTTGGAGTTGTTTGAATATTGTCAACATGCAAGGTTTTAATTTTTCAGTAGATGGGGAAGTCGCAATATAAGCTCTACGGGAACTTCCGATACTGTAGTGCAGCATCTCAGTTTATTTCGTACTAACAGGGTAACCGGACGTGCATATTTTGCAATTTCTGGTAGAGAAAACGAGGAAGAAACGGCATAGAAAGTGTGCTGGCCTCCTCAGTTCCGCANGGCAAGTTGGCCCTCAGGCTATGGGGAGAATCAAAGCGACTGAGAGGCAGTGCCTGCTGCAACTCCCTTAGCAGCACGCCGCTTTCTGTTGTTTCTTCACTCATAGCTGCTTCTGCATCCTTGGGCAGCGGCGGGAGACGGGTAAAGCCCTCCCTGTAATAGGGCCGGTCCCGCAGAGGCAACAGTTGCTGCCTCATTCCCACTCCCCCGAATTCGCCATCAAGTTCATGTTGTGTAGAGGCAACACTGTCTGTGCTTTCTACATCGTTGCCTAGTGTTGTGTGATCGTCCACTTCGCCTGCTGCCGGGACATCTGGTGGTATGGAGTGGAAATTGTTCGCCGATTGCCACTGTCTACCATTCGTTCCTCTGTGGTCCTCTGCACTTCCCCTGCGCCTCTTGCGCCCTGCTTGCTTCTCAATTGTTGGAGATTTGAGTGGCTCTTTGTCAAAGTCATGATCGTTGCTTTCTTCGTCAGAGGAAACGCAGGGCGCACTGAGCTGCAGCGCCCGTGACACCGCCTGCGGCACTTCATAGTCAACTCCGAGAGGCAGCAAACCCGCCTCTGAGCACCGCATTCCCCACGTCTCAAACCTGAGGCAAAGAAGATGATGACATAGATGAACGCATAGCAAGTTTCCGTATGAAGTGCGGTCAAACGAATATCCACTGCCCCATCCGATCCACCAGCAGCCTCAGGCCCCCTGGAAAAGAGAGTGTCAATATCCACCTTGAAACAAAAAAAGACAGTACAATTATAACCTGGGCTCCCCCTTGGTGAATGAAAGAGCAACGGGTCAGTTTGTATCCCTATCCGAAGGAGCTGATCAAGGGCCACTGCTTCAACAGCAAAGAACCGCCCACCAAGCAGCAAAGATGGCAGCACCTTCAGTGTATGTACAAAACACTTACGGGCGTCCCACGAGTCCGCCTTCCGCGTGGCCGATCAAAATGTACTCGTGCACTTGGCAGTGGGAGTGATGGGACTGGCGCAGTCCAGCGGAGGGGCTGCTTTCTCGGTGCATGCATCGACAACAGGCGCAACAACTCGAACGAGCCTTCTCCGTCCAGTCTACATTGAAGGGCATCCAGCAGCAAATCACAAGCTGCGGGAAATACCGCTCCATTGCTGATCTACAACCTTCACGCGTTGCAGCCAAAGCAGCAGGGCACCACTGCAGCTCCCTTCGGGGCTCGGAAGCAACGTAAGAAAACGCAGAAACAGCTGTTGAGTCGGACCCTGGGGGCTTTCTGCTGCCAGCAGACGTCGTGGGCACATCTGCGCTTCGGTTTTCATTGTGTGCTTCGCTGCAAACTGCTGCGTAGTCCTGCAGATCAACAGGGGGGTCCACCTGTTCATTTGGCTCTGAACTACGCGCATCCAGATGCTGCTGTTGCTCCTGCATTCGGAAAAGGGTAGTGCTGCCGTCGCGCTGCAGTGGCTGAAGCTGCTGCTGCAATAGCGGTAGCAGATGTGCGGCAAGAATTCCTGTGCCCGCTCCGCATTCCAAAAGGGTAATTGGTCTATTTGGGTCCCAACGACTGCAACAGCTACTGCTGCTGCTGCTCCGTGCTGCTGGGACGCTAGCGGCGCTGCAGCAGCGACAGTTGCCCGCCGCTTTCCTCGCTTCCCTCTGAATGGATTTAACCCGACAGGCTAAATAGGCGGCGAGAGCAGCAACAAATTCTTTCCTGAGTTTGAGTTGCACAAACGCCTGGGGTATTATTTGTTAAGCACAAGGTGAATGCATGTACACGCATATCGAGAACTAAGCAGACAAAATTCGCATATTTACTACCATTTAACCAGCGCAAAAAAAGTAAGTGGAGATAAAGGACGGAGCACTAGAGCAACGGCAGCAGCAGCTGAAACTGAGAAGCGGTGGGCAGCGCCAGCGGGAAGGCCCGATACAACACCACACTGTACATTGCTGTTTGTTGCTCACGTGGGAATAACGTAGAAGGGGAATGTCGGATCTGCTGAGCATAGATGCCACCAACTCTCCTCAGACCCAGCCTGCGTCGCCCACCTACTGCACGTTCATGCCTTCTCAACAGCAACTCTGCGCTTCAAACAAACTAAGTCAATTCATCATAAAAAGACAAGTGAATGCGCCCTTCTTTATNAGCAACTCTGCGCTTCAAACAAACTAAGTCAATTCATCATAAAAAGACAAGTGAATGCGCCCTTCTTTATTGCACTGTCGGCGTGCAGAAAGCACCTGGTAACCTTATACTTAATGAATCTGTTGCGTGAGCTGTACTGTCATGCGACCCGCATTATAGGGTCCTTCTACTTTCAAAGATGTCTAATCATGGCATTCACCATCTTATCCCCAGTTGATTTCGGCACAGGCAGTAACGGCTCTCTGAGGAGTTGCTACAGAGAGGTGGGGTGGGCTCACCACTTGTTTGTGTTTCTCATCAGAGATATTGGAAACGTCCTTTTCGAGCAGCTCCAGCAGCTCAGCACGGGAGTACAGCCGCATTTTAGGTGGCTTCATGCTTTCGAGCGCTTCTTTTAGGTGGGGGTGTAGCGAGCAAATGTTGCAGGTGCACTGATGACCCGCATTTGTGGTGCTTGTCGCCATATCTTCCATTGGAAAGGAAGCGATACAAACGACCAGCAAATAAATGCAATGGTCCCTGTTAACTACCAAGCTAAACAGAGCCCTTTCCAGTAGTAGCCGAGGGGGTTATGGTTGCCGCTCCACCTGGTTCCTAAATAAACCGGGCTCT